TTCCCATTGACAGTATAATAGCATAAGATAAGATGACTAAGATTAGACCAAGAGTATATTTCATCCATTTCATCAGTAGTTTATTTTTTGAAGTTATGGCTCTCTGATCAGCATCATGAGCCATAACCTGGGAAAATGTTAGAAATGCGTATTTCAAGACTTCATCCAGACATTATCACCATACTGTATTGTTTAGGGGCCTGTAGAAGATTCTTTTTTTCTTTTTTTATGGAGGGATACTTGGTACTGATGTTTACTGAGAGCCTTGTGCTAGCAAGTCAAGTACTATACCACTTGAGCCATGTCCTCAGCCCATTTTTTCTGTAGTTATTTTTTGAGTAGGGTTTAGTTTCTGTCTGAGACTCCCCTTAGACAAGTGATCCTTCTATCTCTGCCTCCATTTTAGCTGGGATTTGGGTTTTGGGCACCACACCTAGCCCTGTAAAAAATTCTGATGCACACTAACTTTGAACAACACTGTTTTAACCACTACCTCACCTTACTAGTATAGCAGAATTAATAGTAGCATTGCCTAGTGTGTCAAAGATAGTCTTTGCTGTTTAAGATTAATCAATAGAGGGAACCTTGGTAATTTTTAGAAGGAAATTTTATTACATCTAGTTAACAATAATGTGAGCATAAATCACAAATGTTCCACTCTGTTAATAAAAGCATATCATATAAATAAGTAAAAGCATATACTAATGATATTTAACAATGAGTCACCATCATATAAAATATTTTCTCTAAAGTTTAAAAATTGGCATGCATTTCATCAACAAAATTTTTCTCAGCTACATTATTTATCAGACCATTTTGCCACTTAGAAGTCTTTGAAAGAACTTTCTCACTTTAACATTTCTTCAAAAATTTGTGGATACAAGAAAGAGATCAAACTTACATGACATTTCATATGTAGTTCCAACTTTCAACGAAAATATTTAGAAGATAAATATCTTCACTAAAGATAGTAGCAAAATCCAACCTAAATCTCATTATTTTGAGCCCTACCAATTTCAAAAAAACAGGTTTAAAAGTAGTGATATGAAATAAGAATATTAATTCCTACTGTCCTTGAAGGAATAAAAGAACTTGAAAACCAAATTAATCAAAGTAATAATGTATAATTATGGTAATGAAGAAAAATATTTCAAGCTTTTAATAGCATCCTTTTCCAGACATCTCTGTGGAAATGAATATTATCATAGTGATAATAAACACTAAGAGACACAGATAACCTTTCTCTTGTTTTGTTCTACATGTGATTGAAAGTGATTACTAGCTACTCTGAAGCATGAGACTCTTATCTCCAATTAAACAGCAAAAAGCCAGAAATGAAGGTGTGGCTTAAGTGGTACAGAGCTAGCCTTGAGCAAAAGAGCTAAGAGACAGTACCCCGGCACTGAGTTCAAGCACCAGCACCAAAAAAAGAAAGAACTGAGGGAAGAAAGGAAGGGAAGGGGGAAAGTAGAGAGGTGCTGAGAGAAGAGAGGGAGAAGGGAAGGAAAGAGGGAAAGAAAAAGAGAAAACAAAAAGAAGATTGACAAAGCTACCTTTTAAAAAATCACTCTTCTGTTTGGATTTTCATTTAGACAATTATTTTTCCCTTAACATTCTAAATTAAGCTTTATTCTCCATTTTTCACTTTTTAGTTGGGCTTCTCCATTTATTGTGCATAGATGTTTACATTCAGCTCTTGCCCTCTAATACATTCTTCTAATTCACACTTCCTAATACTGCTTCTCCCTCATGCTGATCACAGTATTTCAATATAGCTCTTGCCCTGCACTTGCACTTTTTTCTCCATCTCTTTTTTCATCATCCTTCTTCATCTTTGCTTCTTCTCTATTTCTAGTGGTTTTGTAGGTTTTCCTCTTATCCCTTTTGCCTAATTAGTATGATCAAAATTACAGGATTGTGAGTTGAATTGGAAAGTTGATGCATAAAGAACATTGACACGCTTTAAATATGTATTTTGTTGTTTTAGTTACATCATTGAACTATAATAGCCCTCTTGAAGAATGTAGATATGTTTTATTATTACATACATCCCATTCCTAAGTACACTAAGGCTGAGAAGTTAAATATTTTTCTTCTAATTCATAAAGTGATAAGTAATAAAATCAGGATTCAGTTTTGGATAGGTTTATATATTAATACATTGCTTTATTAAACACTTATTGAGCATATATTTCCTGAGTATATTATGTGTTAAACACTGCACTAGGTGCTGGGACAGACCCCACCTTTCTCATAAACATCTATATGATGTCATTGGCTGGCTTCACAGATCTTTGGGCTATGCCAGATGCTTAAGAAGAAGACAGAATAAAAGCATGTGTATAGTTGTAATGTTTCGTGGAAAAATATATATTTGATAAATATGTAAGGAAGAGTTTTATACTATATTTAGGGAGACAGTATTGGAAAGGGAGAATAGTGTCTGCTCCTATAAACAGTCTACCGTTCTGCTCCCAGTTCACACCACTTCATCATTATCAGCAACAGTGCCTATCCGTGGCATCATAATATATATTTTCCTTTTATGTTTCAAAATATAGAATATCTGTGTCTGTATGTCCGAATTTTCTAGATATTAAGAAATAATTCACCATCTGTCCTGACACATGATTAGAAAAAAACACACTCTGTATAATATACTCAATAACATACTTTTCTTGATTTTTTTAGAGTTTGAGTTTCCTAATATGTTACTAGTCCTTTAAAAAATACCTCTTAATAAAAGTTTATACCATTTTCTCAAAAGGTTCCAAAGCCCTATCAGATAGATTGGTCTAGGAAATAAGGTATAAGGCTGAGATAATGCTAGTTTATGTTCTTTAGCTGTGAATTTAAATGATAGCATCTCACTTCAAAACTTAAAAATTAAAGATTTACTTTTTTGCTCACTTCTGGGCTCTTCTGTTTAAAGATAGTTTTATTGAGGGGCTGGGAAGGTGGCTCAGTGGTAGAGCGCTTGCCTTGCATGCTCGAGGCCCTGGGTTCGATTCCGTAGCACCACATAAGCAAAAAGAAAAAAGCCGGAAGTGGTGCTGTGGCTCAAGTGGTAGAGCGCTAGCCTTGAGCTGAAGAGCTGAGGGACAGCGCCCAGGCCCAGAGTTCAGGCCCCACTACCGGACCCCCAAAAAAAAAAATAGTTTTATTGAGAAGCATTATTTGTGGAGTTTCCTTTAAAAATTCAGCCACTGTTAAAAAGTGCACTATGCTGAGATTTAGTATACCAACAGACACACCAATTCTGTATTCTATATAATTTCTTTATTCTATATAGTTATGAGGAATTAACAGTTTATATGTAACATTATTTAGTTTCTAATACATAATTGGTTATTTTAACAGCTTGTCAAGTCCTCAGCTTTGCTAAAAGGGTAAAAATAATTCTAATGAAATACTGAACTATCAACCTTACCCTTAACCCTCCATAATTTACTTTATATTTTGTTGTTTTTCTTACTACTTATTGAAATTCTTCATTTGTAAGCTTTTTGTCCTGTATTGCTTCCAATCATTGTAACTTCTTTTATATGTAGAAACTAAGGATGAGAAATGGATTGTCATGTATTTTGTTCCCTAATTTTAGCCTAAAATTTATCTTGATCATTCCAGTATATTATACAAGCATACCTCATTTTATAGAGCTTCAGTTTACTTCATTTCACAGTGTTGCATGTTTTACAAATTGAAGATTTGTGGCTGTCCTGTATCAAGTGAATCTATCAAAGCAAATTTTTCAACATATGTTCACTTCATGCCTCTATTTTAATTTTGGTAATATTCCAAACTTTTTTTAGTATTATACTTGTTGATTAATCAGCTGTTAAATTGTTAAAAATTATACTATACTGAGATTTAGTATACCAATAGACACATCAATTCTGTATTCTATATACTTTCTTTATTCTATATAATTATATGGAATTAACTAACAACTTATGTAATATTATTTAGTATTTAATACACACTTTTAATACATGTCAAAGTAATACATACATATCAAGGTAATATCATCCACCAGCAAACAATGGTGACATGAAGATTAAGATGATCTTTAGTATATTTTAACAATAAAATATTTTATGTAGGTAACTTTTTGACATAATACTAATTTACACTTAATAGACAACAAGATACTATGAATATAACTTTTGAATCTATTATTAAACCAAAAAATTCAAATGATATGTTTTATTGTAGTGGTATGGAAACAAAACTGAGCTGTTTCTGGGGTATGCCTGTATAACTCATTTGACTTATCATTAGAAGTGAAATTTTCTTGTGTCCTTCACTAGCTTATTCCTTATGTTGAGAATGTCCTATCCTAAAACTCTTAGTTTAAAGCCAAACATTCTTACTTTTAGAAAGTAGTCAGATGGTTTATTTCTACTGAAGATTGTAAGTTTACAGCTTTTTCTTATAGCAAATACATGAGAAAAGTTAACTTTTTGTCCCTTTTAACCATATTATAAAATTATAGAGCAAGGAGGAATACAAGATGATCTTAGCTTTTCAGGGACTAGCTATTGCAAGGGTAATAGGAGGGCTGGGGATAATAGCTCAGTGGTAGAGTCATTGTCTAGTATGTGCAAGGCCCTTAATTAGATCACAAGCACCACAAAAAGAAATTAATAGGCAAATAAAAATGCCCAGCTTTTTTTCCTCTGAAAGTCTGTTAAGCTATCATAGTAATCTGAGGCCTCACTTTTAGAATTTAAGTTGTTAGGCAAGATGAGATTTTTGTCAAATACTTCTGAAAGTGTAGGAAAGAAATAAAATAGGACTGCTAATACTCTCCTGATTTCTTGGTCTTCAACTATAATTCAGTGATCCTCAAAACTGAGTCTGGATACCTTAAGAAAATGTTTGTGTAACTATTATTTATAGAAAGCAGTTTATAATTATTAGTGAAATTTTCTACTCTGCCTTCCTTTTTTTTTTTTTGGCTAAATTCACTCAGTCTGCTATTTAATCTTTAATTACAGGCCACAAAAGAAGTGATAGAACGGGAAGCACCAGGGATGGCCCTGGCAATGCTGATGGGATCACTTAATGTTACACCTCTGGGCATGCTCTCTAGGTAAGAAAGTCCACACCACATTGCAAAGAAAGTTAATTCCACTAATTAGTACCAATGACCAACACAATAGAATAGCAGATCTAAGAAATTTAATCATAAAACTTAACTTGTTACCTTATATGAATGTGTGTAAATAACATAATGAAAACCTTTGAATAATTAATTTATGCTAATAAAAATTAAAAATAAAACTTAACTTGTTTTTATCCAGACTTGAGTCTTATTATCCTATCTAGTTATATCTTAGCCAATTTCCTCCATTTCTTCTATTTTCTTCCTTCTTACCTTCCTTTCTTCCTTCCTTCCTTATATCTTCTTTCTTTCTTTTTTTTGTTTATTATCCTCATCTTTAAAATCATGTTATATAAGTTTAAAAATGGGTGGTCATCCCTAGCACAGATAAGAGGACACTTTATGAATATGTAAAGTTACTCTTTTTTGTGATTGTTTATAATCACCAAATGGGTTTTGTTAATTTTAACTGAATACTAGCTTAATAAAAACTAGATAAAATTTATCAAAATAGCTTACTCTCACAAGTTAGGAACATTTTTTTCAATTTTTATAAGGCATATTGGTTTGATGTGGTCATGAAACATCAGTTCATAGAGATAATCACTACAGTTTTATATATTCAAGTGAGTGTATTAAATTAATAGTATATTACTATGTTGAATTAGCATATTCAAAATTATACCCTTGTTACTGACATCTCTCTTTAAGATGATGGTTTAGTTATTGCTATTGTAGAATCTCTTAAAATCCCCTAATTGAATACAATATCAATATACATAATGTAAAATACAAGTAACAAAATATGTTAATTTCATGACTAGAAATTAATATACAATTAATCTCAGAGCAACCAGAAATACATAACATATTTATAATTTCATAGTCATTTGTAGCCACTTATGTCCTGTGTGCAATGTGAATATAAAAGTAAATGTATCTGTTTATTTCTGTGTTATGTGATTCATAATGTTCTTTCTGTTACTTGGATTGAGTTTATATCCCATCAATAGTAGACACTTGGAACACAGCCAAAGGAGAATGTGAATGGATCATTAGTTACTATATTGTCTTTACTGTCATATGAACAGTATTAAAACATTTAATTAAATAGGAGCAAATAAAGAAAGTAGCGTAATAGAGATTTTTAAACTTAAAAGTACATACAGAACTGAAGTTGTTTTATACTACATTTTAAAACCCTTACTGATATTACCTATGCATACATAGTCAAGGGTCATATTTAATCCCATTTCTTCCTGTGGAATTAAGTAGTGTTTTGTTTCTTAAACATAGAAGAATTTATTCAAGAAATAATTTAGCTTCATTTCTTGTTAATTCTTATAGTGAAGTTTTAATTTAGTAAAAATAGCAATATGCCTAATTGCTAGGACCTGTCTTAAGCATTAGGCATTCTAAGGATATAAAGAAAATTAAGACATGATTTTTGCTTTGAAGATCTCACATTTCAACTGAAGAAATTATTCTTTTCAACTAGTACTATAATTCTTTAATGCAAAGATAGCTGTCATAGACCAATGTCGAAATACCACTATAATTAAAATGTTTTTTGGTGCTAAGTTTTCCTGTCCCTTCTTTATCTTCATAATTCTGAGCATTATACTGCTGAGTAGAAAGTGATTCTAAGTTATTTGCAGTAAATCAATCTTTATTCTGAAGGCTTTAAAAATTAATATATGTGCATGTTATAATCCTACCTTTTTCTTTTCTTTCTGTGATATAAATATCTTTATAATGATATAAATCAATCTTATTTACAAATTCTGTAAAGAGTAGTCCACATTAGCTATGAAAAAAAATATGGAAAGTTTTCCTAAAATCCTTTTTTTATTTTTTGACAGTCACAGGGTTTGAACTCAGTGCAACATGCTTCCTCAGTTGATGCTTTCCATCTGACACTTACCTCAATCCATTGTTTTCACTGATTCTTTTGAAATAGAGTTTGCTTTGTAACTGGACATGCAACTGGGCATGCTTGGGTCTCTATCTGCCTATTTTAGGCTGCTGGTCATAGCTGGAATAACAGGCATGCGCCAATATACCGAGCTCTCTATTGAGAAGGGGTCACTCAAAAATTTTTCTGGGAAGTGGTGCTGTGGCTCAAGTGGTAGAGTGCTAGCCTTGAGCTGAAGAGCTGAGGGACAGAGCCCAGGCCCAGAGTTCAAGCCCCATGACCAACCAAAAAAAAAAAAATTCTGTTTGGGTGGTCACAAACTACAGTATTCTTATGTTAGCCTCCCTTGTAGCTAGGATTATAAATGTGAGCCACTGACTGATACCTGGACCTCTACATGTTGGTTTTTGTGTTTCTCAGAAATTTTAAGCCAGGCACCAGTGGCTCATGCCTGTAATCCTAGCTACTGACGAGGCTGAGATCTGAGCATCATGGTCCAAAGCCAGCCCGGGCAGAAAGGTCCATGAGACTCTTATCTCCAATAACCTACTAGAAAACTGAAAGTGGCGCTGTGGCTCAAGTGGTAGAGCACTCTCCTTGAGCTGAAGAGTGGCAACAGCGCCCAAGCTCAGAGTTCAAGCCCCACAACCGAAAAAAAAAAGTTTATAACAACTACTTAATATTACTGTGTTTGTATTTTTCCTCTTTGAATGAGTATATAAATAACAACAAATTTCTGGAATCAAATGTGTTGATATCTGTAAAGTGCATAAAACAATAACTGATTCATCGTAAATTTTAACTGGCCATCATTGTAATGGTTTGCTCTTGAGTTGTAATTTTAAAGCACATTTAGTGGCAAAAGCTTTCCTTAGTTTTCCCTATTTTGAAAATGAAAATATTGGTTCAAAGTCCAGGTAGAAATGATTTTTACAGTGCATATGTTAGACTTTTTAATAGAGAAGAACAGAAAGTAAAAACTTGCAAAAATAAAAACAAACAAAATATGTAGTTTTATTACATATAGAATTATAAGTTGAAAAAAAAGAATTATAAGTTGAATTGACTGTTCTTTCTGCACTTATTAAATATCTTGCTCTTACCATTTTCTGGATCCATGTTCCTGAAGAGTTCAGTAATTAAATTGTTGTTTCTTTATGTGTAATATGAGTTTCTTTCTGACAATACTGAGAATGGTTTTTCTTTGATTTCAAACATGATCAAGATGTATCTGAGTGAGGTTTTCTTTGAGGTTATCTTTTTGGGTTCATTGAACTTCATTCTGTAAATTTATATTCCTAATCAAATTTGCAAAGTTTAGTCATTAAATTTTCAAGTTTGTTGGGTTTGTTTTGTCTTCCTGCACTAATTTCATTCTTCTGGGATTCCTATAACAGGAAATTTAGATTTATTGATAATGTCCCTCTTGTCCCTTAAAATGCATGCCTTTTTTTCTTTGTTTTGTTTCATTTTACATTTTCTCTACTTTTTTCAGATATTTATATGGCATAACTTCAAATTCTTAGACATTTTCCCTTTTATCTCCATTTTGCTTTTGATAATCCCATGAACTTTTATTTTCAGATTAAGTTTTTTTTTCATTTTTCAGATTTTCATTTGGATTTTTTATGGTTTTTATTCCCTTGCTAAGAACTTCTTTGCACTTAATTCATTAAATCTTTACCTCTAATTCAGAAGCATTGATCTTTATGTCATAGAGGATGGTTATGTTAGCTGCTTAAAATTTTTTCTGACATTGCCAGTATCTGGCTTATCTTGGAATGTACACTAACTTCCTCTCCATAAATGTTCACCCTTTTTTATTCTTTCTGTGTTGAATTTGTTAATTATATCCTAGACATTTGGAATATTATGGTGTAAGAAAATATCATATATAACCCTTGCTAAATCCTCTGTATATTGTTAGTCGTCTATCAATCCAATTGAGTTCAGATTGTATATTCTTTCTTACCTTGTGTGGGTGATAATTCTACCTTTGCTTTACTATTAGGATTAGCCCAGGAAGTAAATTGAGTCTTGAGCAGTGGTGTACATCTTAAAGGTTCTTCATATAGTTCTTCAAACTTTTCTTACATATTTATGCTTCAGAATTGAGATGAGAACCTATGTTAGTTTATGCGTAGAATTATTTGTAATTTTAGTAGAGCATCTGCATAGAGAGATGAAGACAGAGTTTGAACCCCAATGTTTCCAACAAAAAATTAAAAAATAAAATAATAAAATTAAAAAATTAAATAATAAATATTAACAATTTCTTCCATCTCACTTCTTTTGATAATAGGGACTGCTTTTCTACTATTGTGGACAGAATGCAAAAAAAAAGGCTATTCTTATATTAAAAATATCTATTAAAAATATCAACTCTTATTTATTGTCTTCAGTCAACAGACATTGTAGTTACATCCCTCTATCTTCTCTGTTACCACAACAGCAAGAGCTCTATCTTTAATAGTTGTCCTTTAGATCATATCCTATCATTTCCCAGTATTTAATTGCTTGTCGTAGGTAAGTTATTTAACTAAGTTCAGCACATAACATTCTGAACCTATAATTTATGAGTGGAAAAGATCAGGTACTTTTTTCTTCCAAACTTCATTAAGAAGAATAGAGCAATTTTGGAACTTAAAATTATTCAAACACTTGCACCTCCTAAATGCATTTCTGAATGGTAAATTGTGGTACATTTTGGTCAATTCAGCCTAATGTGATACTAGCTATCTATCAGCCTCCTAGCCCCATGGCTTCCATTGACAGCGTACAAAAACCATAGTAGGAAATACATACCCTCCAAATATTAGATGTCTGGAAAGGCACCTTCTAAGCCCAGCAGAAGGACCTAAGAAAACATGAAGTTTATACCTCAAGCTAATCTGACACAGACACCATTTAACACTTTTTAAAAAATTAAATGAACTTTAGGTAAGGGAGAGAATCTTACTTCCTTAATTATCATATTACAAGATTAAAATGTCCAGTTTTAATGAGATACTCTTCTCAACCAGTAACTGTATGTGGCAACCACATGCTTGTCATCTCAGCTTCTTCGAAGGCT